CTCCAAGAGACACTGCTCCTTAGCTCATTGCAATCCCTACCGTCACTGGCAGCCACGGCTTCCTCTATTTCTCGCACAGCCTCTGAAGATCCCAGGTTTCCCTTCCACTTCCAGCCTGGGTCATGCAGACATTTCTGCCTCCCTGGGTACTCCACGATCTCCAGGGTACACAGCATGCTAGTCTTCCGGCATCTTATTGTCCCCCTCAGACGGGAGCCTCCATAGGCGACTCTTGGGACTTCCCTCAGTAGATGCTCCGGCTGGGCCATGCTGGGAGTGCCGTGGGCTGTCCTGCAGACCAGTCCCGGCAGCACAGACAGGTGTGGACACAGGGAGCCTCTGTGAGCAGGGAGCTCGGGACGTGTTGGAGAGGAGGGTGAATACTAGGGGTTCATGTCTGGCAGCAGGACATAGGTCTCTCTTCTTTCCTCCCTTCTATGGGCATATGTTGTGATGTATTTTGTGTCCTGGCCCCATGATCTGGGGTGAGTGAGGTAATAAAAATATCTCAGAGCCAGGCCAAAGGAGACAGCCTGGTGGCACCAGAAGGCTAAACATGACCATAGAAGTTTGATTTCTAGGACTTGCAACAGTGTGTAAAAGCTGCCACACCTGATGACCTGAGGTCTATCCTGGGCAGCCATGGTGGAAGGAAAGGACTGTCCTTTGACCCCTACACACAAGCCATGGCATGCGTGTTACACACAAATAAATAAGTGAATATTGAAAAAATAATAATGATAGCTCTGCTAGCCCTTGGTGGGGCTACATGCTTCGAATCCAGAGGGGTGATAAGCCACCTGGACCAAGCAACATTGCTAAATTTGACATCCCTGATCTCCTCAAGCAGTCAGTCTTCTTTTTCCTACAGGGCATGGCTCTGGGTCTCTGCTCACCTAGAACTGCCTCCTCCTAGCCAGGAGAGGGGCAGGGATGGGAAAGATGGTTTTATTTCCTAGTTGGCCCTTACAGGAAAATGGGTGTAACTCGGCCACTTTGTAGCCTGTCCAGATCCCTGCATAGCACTGTTCCCTGCTTTCCAGGGCTCCTCTGACTCTTGAGGGCACGCATAGGGATATCTTGGGATACTAGGGCAGGTCTGCATGGGGATTAGATTGCTCCATAAGGGACCTTCATGTAGAATACTGACCTGTCCAGATACTGGTGATAATTTTCTCTCTTTGGTGGTTTGGGAAACTGAGGCTGGAATGGAGGCCTCCCAACTAGCCCAGACAGAAAACCCAAGCAGAAGAATCTTCATCCCCTGAGCTCTTGGCAAAATGTAAGAAGTGCCTTTGGTGCCAATCTTCAGGCATCTCCACTGTGACCTGCAGAGGTCTCCATCCCCCGTGAAGATGAAGGTTGGGCTCAGAGAAGGAAAGTGGTTGTGGCTAGGCCTGAAGGCAGGTTTGCACCTGCAGCTCTGCATCTGTGACAGTTGAGGCTGATGCTTCCCGGGGTGGGGTGGCAATGTAAGGCGCTTGGCACCCCCTACCCGGTCACACATAGTTTAGGAGTATGGGAACTGGTATGTGCTTAGAGACAAGTAGCTAGGAGGCTGGTCGTCCTAGGGATGGAAGGACTCCAAGGACCCCACCCTGCCACCAACAGGCACTCCCAATCTATGGTTACCTCTTATGACCTCTGTTGGCCTTCAGCTGGAGTGGTATAGGTGTGCCTTACCCATGTGAGGCATCACAGGGACTCAGGGGACGTGTCAAAGGACACTGAGGAGCAGTCAGGAGGGGGTGGGTGCCCAGAGACAAGGATCCTGTGAACCAAAGTTCAAGGCCAAGACTTCTGGGACTCCAAATCCTGAGAGGCAGCTGATACGATGGACCAGACAGGGGCTTAAGGAGAGCAAGGGATCCTGAAAGACCCAGATAGTCCCGTGAGGGGCTCCTTCCGGGACCCTGTCCTGCTGAAAATATACAGCAGCAATTTAGTCCTGGCCCCTCAGCTCCTGAAGTTGGCAGGTGTCAGAACCAATCAAGAGTCTGTGACTCCCGCAGCACCTAGAACAGGAAGAAGGACCCTCCGCACTCTGGGGAGTTGTAATGTCTTCTAGCCTCGTCTCTCTTCCATGTATTCCCAGCGATTCTTTCAAGGAGGGCTCTGGATGACCCATGACCTCTCAGCTGGAGATAAGGCTTGGGGCAGAGATTGGGGGGGCACATTCCTAACCCCGGAGGGAGAATCCTGGGTAAAGAGAAGGCCCGGGCAGTGGGAGGGCGTTGTGGGAGGCAGACCTAGTGCTTTCATGGGTTGTGTGCCTTTGCCTCATCCAGTCTAGTCTGGCTGACATCCCGAACTTTACTGCTAGCTTGTATTTTCCCCAACTGAAGCAAATGATCCCTAACCCAGCTGGGTGGCCTGGTCCCTGACCTTCAGAGCCGTCTCCTCCACTGTCGGCCCCGTTTACTCTCATCCCATGGCTTTCTGCGTGACTGTTTGATTTTTGTGCTATCTTCGTTGGCACTCTCAACCATGTGCCTGCAAGTTTAGGCCCGGTGGTCCCTGTCCTCTATCCCATGGGGACATAGACATGAGCTCTCTGAGAGCTAAGAGCATACTGTACACCCTCCCGGAGGCTTGACTGAATGGACCCTCAGGTCCTCCCAGATTTGTCAGGACTCATCAGTGCCAGAGCCTGAGGATAGCCAGGTAGCTGGGACAGAACTAGAGGGAGACTTGGTCTTTTATAATGTACCGGGGGAGGAGGGGCAGAGAATGTGAGAGGGGTCATCTTGGATCAGAGACACCAAAGCCTGGAGTTGTGGCTCTATGTGTCTGGTGTGGCAGGGAGGGATAAGACCAACTTCTCAAGGAAGCACAAGCCATCCAGGGTGTTGTGTCATATCATGGCCATCAGTAGGGCAAGACTCCTCAAGCTTTGACTCTGGCTGGAGGCTGTTTTCCTACTTCACTGCATTGGCCCAAAAAGATGCCCCGAGGGGCCAGGACAGCACAAGGCATAGCAGTCCTAGAACATTCCAGAAATTCTGGGTCTTCTGCCAGGTTAGGACTTCCCCAGGATGGGGAAGGTAGCAGGACACTGCCTCCCCTGGGAAAGTCTTCCTACAAACTTTCCTAAGGCAGACACAGCATCCATCAAGGGTGTGACGCAATGCGTGTCAGGGAGGGGTACTTTCCTGGGATATTCCAGAATTCATGGTGGCTGAGTAGGGACACTAAAGCTCAAGCCTGGGGCACAGTAACATCTAGAGAGATGGCAGAATCTGCTGGGAAAATTCTCTCTCCGCTCTAAGATGTCCTTGGGACAGTCACAGGGAACTCCTGCCTTCCTGCCGATACAGAAGTGTCCCTTTATAGCTGCCCTGATGGACAAGAAAATAGGTCCACTATTTTCTGGACCAGGCAGGTGACCAGAATTTCCCAGGTCATGTGCAGGTATAGGAACGAGTTTAGGATGTGGCTCTGCTGTCATCCTTGACTGTTGACTGAGCTGAAAGTGGTTTCCTGGATCGCAGACCCCATGCAGGACAAAGACCTCCCTAAGGACTGTAAGTCACAAGGATGGCCCTACCCTCTTAGATGCTCATGTGTCTGTCCTGTGGGATGCCCATTTCCTTCCCCAGTGAAGACTTCCTCTTGTGATAAGGATCCCCGGGGGCACCCACACACTTCTGGCTTCCCCCAGGGCCCATGTCAAGGGACACTCCCAGGAAACTCCTTCCAGAGGTTCTCTCCTGGCCTTGTGGGCAGGGAGGCCAAAGAGGGGTCACTCCGCCCGTCTGGTCCCCACCTCCACCCTGCCGCAGCCCCATCTAGGCCCTTGAGTCAGCAAAGTTGTGGGATACTATCGCCGCTTCTTTCCACGCATGCAATCTAGGAATCCCTGCCTGTGTCACTGCCCTCACCCTGATGTCATCTTTCTAGGAGAAAGATGCATATCTGCCCTCAAACCGTATCCCCACGCCCTTGGAGCTCTGCCCCATAGGCACCAGTTTTGGTACCTGTAGACCATGTCCTCGGCATGAGTCTTTTCTCTATGACCACTTCCGCTACTCCCCAAGGCTCTTGGCTGCCATCCTGCCATATGCTTGGCCTAGGAAACATATCTTTAGTTTTTCACCACAGCCATTCTGGCCATTGGTCTTTCTTTCTAAATGATTCTGGTAGTGTTGTCCTGAGTTCCACCTGTTATCTGACCCCTGAAAGTTCTCACTTGTGTCTGATTTCAACAGTCCACTGAATGAGCTTTTTGGGCCCTAAAGCACATTGCTTAGCCTAGTGGCTTCCTGTTGTATCAGAGGGGCACTGCCCACAGCCCAAAGGCTCTCATGGAACAAGTGAAATAAGTGGGGCTCAGGCTAGATGCACCCTTAAGTAAAACCTCCTACCTTAACACTTTCCTGCGAGTACATGTACATCCAACCCCATGGCTTCAAACTTCCTGCAATGGGAGGCATGGGCCGGATCCCTTGTGCAAACACAAACTCGTGCTGTCTTCTCCAAAGCCCATTGTGAAAAGCAAACACTTGTTAACCTCTCAAGAACCTGCCACTTTTCCAAGAGCAGTTCCTGCTTCCATAGAAAGGTCTGGAGAGGGAGGTGGGCTGGAGCGAGTGCAGGAAACTAAGCCTGGGAGAACTTACTAGAGAAGTCAGAGGCCCCTGTGCCTAGTACCCGGCAGCTACCATGTTTCAGTCAGACTCAGAGACTCCAGGTGTCCCCTAGTGGGACACATAGCCATGGTATGCCCTCTTTGAAGGGGCAGGCTGACCTGAAGAGGGCAAAGAGGCTTTCGTAACTCAGAGGGCCAGAATCAGCAGTCAGTTTAGGGGCCTCACCTGCCCCATCTGGAGTTCCAGCCGAGCTGCAAACCTTTAGGATTGAACATGTGTTTGTGAACCAGGACTACAGAAGTCAGCTGGAATGGCACCGTAAGAGAACTTGATGGAGTCTGGCTAGCTTCTACACCCTTCGCTGCCATTCCCTCTGCTCTCAAGGTCAGGGGGGTGGGGGTGGTGAGGGAGGCTTGGCTGGGCTGAGTTTGCCCATGACGCTGTGCCCTCAGTGGGAGTCTGGCGAACATCATAGAACTGTGCCATTTGGCTGTATTTTGTCTAATTAGATATGGGATGAACCTGTGAGAGGTCCATGTCTTAGAAGAAGGCTGGGGAGAGAATGGGCCAGGACTGGGGCTGGAATTAGCCACCAGAGAAGGTACAGCTTGCCTAGAGGCCTCCAGGGAATGCAGGTGGCATGGAAGCAGGAGTCCCACTCAGTGTCTCCCAAGCCCCGCCCCAGCCACTCCAGGCCAGGAAGTCCAAATTTGCCTGGAGGCCCCTCAGAAGGAGAGGATAGCCACAGGCTGGGTCAGGCTGCCCAGGCAGGGCAGGAGAGGCCCTCAAGGGAGCGGGCAGGTGGGCTGCCAGTTCTTGGAAAGGCTCATTAATGAAAACCCCCAAGCCTGACAACTTGGGGGAAGGCTCACTGGCCCCAAGTGTAGCTGATAAGGGCCAGGAGATTCCACAACTCAGGTAGTTCCCCCGCCCCCCTGGAGTTCTGTGGTCACCATTAATCATTTCCTCTAACTGTGTATATAAGAGCTCTTTTGCAGTGAGCCCAGTACTCAGAGAGAAAGGCTAAGGTCCCGAGGAGGATGTGGCTGCAGATCTTACTTTTCCTTGGCATTGTGGTCTGTAGCTTCTCTGCACCCACTCGCTCACCCGCCCTTGTCACCAGGCCCTGGAAGCATGTAGATGCCATTAAAGAAGCCCTGAGAAACCTGAACAACACCCCTGTCATGGAGGTGAGTGAGGGAGAGAGTCTGGCTGTTTCCAGGCCACCCGCTGGCCCCTGTCTGGTCCCGCCTGTCAGCTTGGTAACATGGCGCTTTCCTTTTACAGAATGAAGACATAGAAGTAGAAATTGTCTCTAAGGAGTTCTCCATCAAGGTAAGCTGCTTCTCTCTGGTGGAGCTTCCTGGGTCCCTGCAGGGCTGTTTTAAACAACCCCTTGCAAGGTTGTCTTAACTCTTCCCTGTCCGCTGACTGCCAGGGGGAGGGGGCAGAGTGGGCAGTCAAGATGTTCATAGCTGTTCCTCTGTGGCAGTCACGTACACTCGTTTATTGACTATAGCCATGCCCCTGCGGCAGTCATGTGCATTCTTTTATCAACTGAGCAATAAGTTTGGGCAGAGCTAACATTCAAAGGTCAGGGATCTGCAGGGGATGATGGGAAAGTAAGAGTCACTTTATGAGATGGTCTTGTTGCCTTGGAGTCTTCACTGTGCCCTGTGACCATGGAGAGAGGATATTGACTATAGAGGGACACAGAGGGGTTTCTGGAACAATGCTTGCCACAAAGAGGTTTGGGGGATTTCCCCACCCAATCCAACCCCCTCTCCTAGAATGGTAGCAAGCAGCCTTTGCTTGCAAAATTGGGGAGCTTGGAACTGTAGACCTACAAAATGTGACTATGCCAGTTGAGGGTAGCTTGGGCCAGCCGGGGAGAAGGGCAGTGGTCAGATAGTGTTATGATTAGACCCTTTCTGTGCCGCTTAGTGGGAACAGAAAGGGGCGAAGAGAACAGCCTGTATTTTTTGAGGGCTTGGCATTTGCTTATCAATGAATGGATACTTTTCACAGAGTCCAACCTGTGTGCAGACCCGCCTGAAGGTGTACGAGAACGGCCTACGGGGCAACTTCACCATACTCAAGGGTTCCTTGAACATGATGGCCAGCCACTACCAGAAGAATTGCCCCTCAACCCCGGTGAGTGCACAGCATCAGGAATGTCTTAGTCTAGGAGGATGGAGCTAGTGAGGAGTGACCTCAGGCTGTTCAGTATCCCAACAAGTGGTTTCTGTGTCATTAGATGTGTCACAGGAGCCCCTCAAGAACAGGCCATGGCTCCTATTCATCCCTAGAGGCCGAGCTGAGCAACAGCAGAGCCCACTGCTTCCCTCAGCAGGAGCTACCTGCCCTTGTCATGCCTGTCATTATCAGTCATGAGGTCAGAGGTCAGGCAAACCCAAGGAAACTCAGAGCCTGCCCCAAGTCCAGGAGGAGAGCCAGCTCCTAGGCACCACTTCCTGGCAAGACTTCCCTGTGGGGTGCCCATGTTGCGTGGATACAGGGATGGAGCTCCTAGAATGGGCAGACACTTCAAACACCCCCTTTTCCTTCCTCATGGAAGAGGCCTGTGCCTTTTTAGAGGTGAGGAGATGCCTCAGGTTGGCCGCTTGCCTCTCACCTGGAATCAAAGAGGCTGCCAGCCTAATCTAAAGACCAGAGGCAGGTCTTCCGTTAGGACAGTCCCTGGATGCCATTGGCAGATCTGTGCATGCCTTGAGCAGCACATAGGCAGCGGTAGTGTCATTTGATGCTTTCAAATGGGTTTCTGGCCTCTGAGTTCTCAGTGGCACAAAGAAATACACAGCTGCTTCCTGTGTCACCCACTCACCTGGACTAAAGTGCTTTTTTTCTTTTTTCTTTTTTTCTTCTAATCCCCTTCAGGAAGATGACTGTGAGACACAAGTCACTACATTTGAAGATTTCATACACAACCTTAAAGACTTTCTGTTTGACATCCCCTTTGACTGCTGGGAGCCAATCCAGAAATGAGGTGGCCCAGGCCAGCTCTGGATCCAACTTCTCAGACTGCTGCTCTTACTCCTACAGAATGAGCCAGGGATTCAGGAGTTCTGCCTCGAAGGGACCAAGGGCGGGTCACAGCACAGCGGGGGCAGTACAGACCTTCTCTGAGAATGCTGACTCCCTCCAACACTGCAGTGGGGACAAGTCAGGGCTATTTTCTACTGATAGGGACCAGTAATATTTATTTATGTATTTATATATTTCTAAATATTTATTTATTTATTTATTTAAGCTCACAACTGTATTTATTCAGGATGTCTTACTATAATAATAAATTATTAAAACTTTTGTTTGTGTGGTTATCTGGTTTATTTTTAAGAGGGGAGGGATTTCGGTGGGGGACGTGGGCTGGCTGCAGAGGTAGGGAATTGATGAGGGCCAGTGCTGCCATGGTCAGAGGGAGGTGAGATCAAGGCCTGGGTACAGCATAGGCCTGGGCACAGTACTCAGATGCCATGGTGGGCCTTCCGGGGTGCTCAAGAGCGTCCGCACCAGAGAAAGGACTCAGGATTCTCCAGGAAGTTGAAGTAACCAGTTCACAGACCTGGCCCAGAGAAGGGGTGTCATCCTTTCTAGGAACTAAGGGGATTCTGGGGTTGGTGGTCACTGTCTAAACAGGTCAACCCTGGTGTCCAGCAAAACTACTGTCTCCCTTTGAGGCCATGGACCCTGTGTCCCTGTTCTGCCCTTACACTTGGGGCCTCGCTCACTCTTAAAGTAAATCAGCAAATAGACTAACTGTTCGGAGAAAAAGAAACTAAACCACAGGGGTCAGAACTCAGCATATTTCCCCAACTTTCCCCCAAATAGGTGATCTTAATCTTAAGCCCAGCAGAATGTCAGTTTGGTGTATGTTGGGGTATAGCTATACGGTGGCACTTTTCTTAACAGGTTTTTGTTTTCCCATTAAATTTTGACTCTCACTGGTATTTCTTACTAAAATACACTTCCTTGGGGCTGAGAGAAATGTAGTTATCCTCTGTCTTTGTTCAACAGTCAAGCTGAAGGTCTTGTCCCCAATTTGTTACCCTGAGGACCACCAGGAAAAGAGTGTGTTCCCAAAGTTGGGGGTTGGGCAGTGGGACCAGCCTTCTTCCTGCAGGTGGCTGGAGGAAGCTGGCTGTCTGCAGTTAAAGGCCCCTGTCTGTGCCAGGATGTACTGATCACCTATTGCTCCCTGTGCTCCAACATGATGGCTCAGTTCCAGCCAGACACCCGCCTCAGGCAAAAAGACCACAACACCATTTGCAATTATAAATATAAATTCTTTTTTTCTTTTTTGGTTTTACAAGGCAGGGTTTCTCTGTTTTGTTTTGGAGGCTGTCGGTCCAGCCTGGCCTCAAACTCACAGAGATCCACCTGCCTCTGCCTCCCGAGTGCTGGGATTAAAGGCGTGCGCCACCACCGCCCGGCTCGATTATAAATATAAATTCTTAGAGAAATCTCAAATCCCAGCAAAGAGAAGGACCCATGGAGTGTGGGATGATATCAAAATGCATAAAATCCATGTCTTACCCAGCAATAAGGTCCCCTCTGTCTTCTTCAGAAGCCATTGAGGACTGATAAGGAGCATCTACATTTTCTTAGACTCACATGTGTATATACAGGTACCCTACTACTGAAATACTGTCAAGCAAGCCAAGCTCAGATTTACTGTGAGTCACCTATGAGACTATGCACCTGTGTATGTTCCTGACTTTTGTACTTTGGGGGTCAGAAAGCCATTGTGCACCAATTGAAGCTACCATGGCTCTCCAGAAAACTCACATGACCCTTTGTGCCAAGATTCAGCAAGAAATGTCTGAGGACAAGAAGACATACCATATAAGTTTGATTTTCCATCAATCCCCACTCACACCTGTTACCCTTCATGACCAACTTCTCTTGTTTGCAGGGCTACTTCAGTGGACCCTAGAATACCAGTGAGGTAAGAGGCATCTAACATCTTTGTCCTTTATGACCACAGCTGAATGGGGAGAAAGAGGTTGGCGCAGTCAGCAAACAGGGTGGAGATAAGAATGGGAAATACTAAGGCTTTGAGAACGGAACCTCTGACTCAGTCAACAGATGAGCTGGTGACCGAGATTGGAACTTTGACAGGCTCTTCAGCCACCATCCCAACATAGCCCTAGATCCAAAGGGAGAAGAGGTATCTATTGCCTCCACTGCATAGCCTGCAGGATCCCGCAAGGTCTTTGGTCTAGGGCTCCATCAGACCAGGGTGAGCAGGGATGAGTGAGGAGAGCATCTGTAGTATGCCACTGTGTAGACCCACCACCCCTGTTTCAGAAGTTCTGCTATGGAAAGTTTACGAAGGACTTCACCTCTACTATGAAGGAGCTATTTAAGAGATATGACAAACAGGACCCACACATAACTAAGATTTATAAGGATATGAAATTCCACAAAAATCTGTATGAAGCTGGAAGTGAGTTGCTGCTTGCTTTTAGGGGAATCGGAGGCCCCATTTTCTTGCACTACAGCTGGGGTCCATTGAGGCACAGGTCTTGGTCTCAACACTACTTGCCTCCTGGTGGGGATTCAAGCCCTATGATTATCCTTTGGGATCATCTCAAAAACAAAAGAAATCTTGAGATAGGTTGGAGAATGGGGAATAGAAAACTGCACAGGGTTGGGGGTGGGGTTAATTCTAGGGTACTTCTGGGAGCCTCTACCTGTGTCATCCCAGGGTTCCTGTGGGGCAGGTTCCTGTGAATTGTTACTGATTCAGCTGGAAAAAGAAAAACCAAGCCTGTTCTAGGTTGCTATACTCTTGGGGCTTCTCTGGGCTGAGGAGTCCCTTGGGAGAGACTATAATGTGAGGAGACTCTGTTTGGGAAACCATGAGGGGACACCACTGAGCTTGCGTGGTCCTGTGGACTCCTATGTGCTCACCTTCATGGCCTTATCTGGGGTAGCAGTGCAACCTGCCACACATTCTTGGCTTCCTTCCCCCATTTCTGTATAATCCTCAGACTCTAGGTCTCAGTGTCATATTTGGGCACACACTGTTGCTCATACAGAAGCAGAGAGGGTCGCCCTGAGTTACTTCCTAGGAGATGGGAGCTTACCAGGCCGCGCGTGGTTAGGAAGACAAGTTTCCTTTGTTTTTTCCTGTGAAGAAGATGACTTTAACCATGTGTTCCTTCAGCCTTCAGATCCACCAGAGGACTGTGCTATTGAGCACAGTGACGTCTCTAAGTTCAAGGACACCTTAAGAAACATTGTCATCTCCATAGAAGGATGGAGATCATGCCAGAAGACCAGGGACAACTTTCGGGGCTCCATCTTTTCCTGGGGTTGGAGTTGAAGGAAATGGAGTTGAAGGAAATTCTGAGGAGTCTCAGAAATTATTTACTGTGTGCATGAGGAAGGCATGGGAATCTGGTGCTGGGCTGAGAGATGAGGCTGTGTGGGGGCCAAAGAAGAGAATACCTTACCTATTAGTGCTCACTGCTTCAATAAAGCCTGAGTGTGAAGATACTGGAGAGAGTCTTGTCTGGGGCCTCATGGACTAGGAGGGAGAGGGAGGAAGCATGAAGCACTTCCATCTTGAAGCGCTTGACCTGGAGTCTTCCACACAGGAAGCAATCCTTTGACTGCTTCCTGTTACCTCATCTGATCCAAATCTGATCTTTTCCCAGAATCCCCTTCTCAGGTCAATACCTACCCATCACTGAGACCCAAGCATGAGACACAAGGCTTAAATCACTTCCTTACTTGTTCTCAACTACAGCACCTGGGTAGCTCCACAGATTCACCCCCAACCTGTCTCTTGGCCCAGAATGGAACCAGGGGGACTCCCAGGCTACCTACTGAAGACTAGGCACGGTGTAGGACTTGGCCAGGATGGACATCCACAAAGCTCAGGAATCCTCACACCCCCAGCTCTCCCAGCACTAGAAGAGGGTCATCTTCTCACTGACCTATATAAGCCCTCCCAACACTTCCCAGGTGTCTGGCATGATAACACAGCTTTGACCCTTAACACTCTCATCCAGTTTTGCTTAGGCCCTGAAGTGCTGGCAGGCAGAACTCCCAAGTTCTGACCTCCACCCTCAGTACCAGCCCTCAAGCTAATCATTTGGAGAGCTCACCGAGGATGCCTGGGCTGACCCTACAATTCAAACTGCATCCCATAACCCAAATGCTCTGAGACAGGAGCTTCAACAAGCTGTGGTAGAAAAGGCTCTGCTTATCCTGAGGTGCAATTAGCTGTCATGAGACAATACCTGCCTACTGACAGTCTGTGCCCAGCTATGTAGGCCACCCACACGCCTGCCATCCCTACCAAAGGGCTCTGGGCTACAATTTCTCATCTCTATCTGGAGATACCAGGTATCACAGAGGCCAGAGATAAAAAATGTGCCCAGACAAAGTTGTCTAGGTGTCTCAGAACACAGGGAACAGTCCTGTGACTCTGGGTCAGACATCAGGGGCTGATGCAGGGCCAGGGGCCAAGGCTAGCTTCAGCTTGGAGAAAGGCTTGGTCTGGTTCCTAAAGGTTGTGAGCTCTTGAGTGAACAGCATGGTTACTCAGCATTCCTAAGGTCACTCCTTTGTAACTAGCAGGCAAGTCTGTTAGGGATGCTGGCACATCCTTCCAGGAGGACACACTCCTTCACTTCATTAATTCCTATAAGCTGGTTTATGGGTTCCCTGACCTTGAATTCCTGACAAAGCCTGAGGCACCTGTAATGGAATTGGAAACTTACACCATAGGTCCCTGTCACCTCCACTGCTTGCTATGTGACCTTGGATGAATCCCTTAGTCATTTAGCTACGGAGTTTACAAAGGTAGGATAAACTTCAGCACTGGAGGCCACACGTCAGCCTGAGCACAGGGCTTCAACTGAGCTGAGCTGCTGCAGAGCACTGGGCTTGCTCGGGGGACATTGAGGTCAGAGAGGCTAACAGCATTGAGGGTGGATAGTGGGGCAGGAAAGGCATAGGCACAAAGGAGACAAACTAATCCAGGTCCTTGTCAAAGTCACCAGACAGTCATCTACAAAGAGACAGGCCCTGCAGTGAGGGTCTCTGCGGTTTTCCTGGGTCTCCAGGAAGGCTCAGCTCTGGATGTGGTGTTGGGAAGCAGGCTGGGGCTGTGTGCATCCAGGTACTGTTCCCAAGAGCAGCAGGCCTGCGAGCACAGCATTTGGGTTTAAGAAGATGTTGCTCTAGTGAAAAGCTGGGCTCTTGGATGGATACTCAGTCCACAAAACAGCCTTGATCTGACACCATCTGGGTCAAGCCCTGGGCACTTCCTTTCCCTAATAGGCCAGGGGCCA